TTGCCAGTTTAGTAAGTCTTATTTTATTATTTTTAACTGTTCCCTTACTGGCAATTGCCTTGGTAGGCGAATTCTTTATAACAAAGGGTTCGACCATTGAAGCTTTGAAATGGATCAATCTTTGTTTTGCCAAAGCCGAACGGTAACATAGAATATGCTCTGAAGTTGCATCATCTTCAAGGCAGAGCCGGTATACCGACTCCGTGGTCATAGCTATTCGATGCAAGTGGAATCTCAATCAGTTGTGACCAGTCACGTATCTTGAAAGTAGCCTGATGTCATTTCTTTTTTCTAAAGTAATATCCTTTCTGTTGAAAGGGTAGGCGAAAAGCCTATCTTGTCTATGCCCCCGCCCCTCACCACTCCCCAGTACTTATTGCGTTCAGATTGTACTCATCAGTTTTTATGCTTCTCGAAGAGCACCAACTAAGACCACAGAATGATTCAGCTCCCGAAAAGGCAGTTAGCGATCCTTTCCATGCCATCGCGTCGGCGACCTCATTGCCTTTGATTCCACATTGAATAAAAAAAAATTAATTTTGAGCGGGTCTTTTAGTTCATAAATACTTACATTCGTCGTCCGTTGTCCACATAAAAGTGTAAGCTTATGAAATTCGAATTTCAGTGAAAAATTAAATAAACAGTCCACCATTATAAATTTTAAATATTTAATTTATTTTGGAACGAATTTCCATCACCCCTTGTGGAAATTCGTTCCAAAATAAATCATCTTACCACCCTGTCGGAAAAATCAACCAACACCAACATTTAAATATTTATTTAAAAAAAAGCCTTAATATGTAGAAAAAAACGCTGTAATTGGATGGTAACAAGAAAAATCGCAGCGGCAGGATTTCCGCTTCCGCACATCGCCTTTTCCGCTTTTGTTTATTTGCATGCGCATTAACAGACGCGCTTGCCGCACGCTGCCGCCATTGGCACTGCTGTTGGCCCCAGCCAACGGCGACGAGCACTTGCTCATTCATTCATTTTTGCGTGCGGTCATTGCCGCAACCACACTCAAGCATGCCGCACAACAGCCGCAAAACATCAATGCGCTCTACGCCACAATTCAACCGACGCACGCCCAATAATACCCGTTGTTGAAAACACCCACTAGCTCTGCGCCTAGTGAAACACCATTCTTGCAACGCCAACAAATTGAGGTCATGGCTTATGGCTGCAGCTCAACGAACCGACCATTCAAAGGAGCAATCGCGCCTCCATTCCCATTCACAATTCCTAATAAGTGGCATTCTTCCACTTACCACTCATTGCTTCTATGCTGCTGCTGCTCCTGCTGCATTCTTCATCGGCCGCGCATAGCTTTGCTGTTGTATTTGCGTTGTTTTATTGCTATTTCAATGTTTTATTGTTGTGGGTTTTTTTTTCTTCTTTTATTGCAAACTTTCATTATCACAATTACCTACACTTCTTCTTGTTTTTGTTTTTATTGCACTTACAGCTATTGTTGTTTTACTTGCATATATTCATATTCGCACAAATTTAATTTGATTTTTGCATAAATGCACTTGAATGGGAATGAAAAATAAAAAACTTTTCGTTTGGTCCACCGTTATACAGCGGAAGCGGAAAGTGTTACCGTAGGTGAAGGCGCTTTCGCTTTAGGTGAATTCACACGAGTCAAGAGTTACTATAAAAACTAATAAAATTAATTGCTTGTATATTTTTATTTCAGTTTCTTTAAATCTTTTGAAAATAGCTTGCGCCCCTTCTAACTTACTTGCATTTTATAAATACAAATTTTCTAAAGCTTGCTTTAAGACTCCAATGAATTTGTAGGAAATTATTATTTGTTTGAACTCGCCCGTCCAAAAAAATCAAAAAAATTTACAGAGTCCATTATTTTATAAATTTTTGCTGGCGGACTTCTCGGCAAAAAAGAAAAAAAATTACGTTTCTTCCAGTCCGAATGAGCCGTTTTTAAATCCTCCGTTTTCAGACATCCGATTTTTATTTAATAATAGCTCTGTTCCAAAAGAGCCCCGCAGGATCCCATTGCTGCTGATTTCTTCATTCCGGGGCACGAAATGTGCATTCCTCACGTGCTAGACATTTTTGACACTCTCTCTTAGTAGCAAACCCTGTACTACGGTCGCCTGTAAAGCAGAGCAGAGTAGCCGTGTCTGAAATGTCGTTTGGTATTAAACCGCTCGGAGATGTCTAGCTCAATTCTGACGCAGTTTGTAGCATTTCTCTTCGTCAATTTTTACAGTCGTATTTGTTTCGCGGGGATACCAAATTCAGATATCGCGGAGCATAGGCAACTCCTTTTCCTGATGCCGTAAGTGGCTTTGAAGTCGACAAATAGATGATGGTGAGTGTCGATCCTTTCCTCGGCGATCTTTTTCAAGATTTAGATCTATTTTTCAGGTCTAAAGCCACACTGATAAGGCCTAATCAATTTGTTGACTGTTGGCTTTAGTATTTCATACAACATGCTCGATAAGGCTGATCGCGCGGTAGTTGCACACTTAAATTTCAGTCGGCAGGCATGGAATGGAATGGATTTGTAGGTGGCCGAAAAAACCAAAAACAAATTTTTCCAAGCACTCAGGCAGTATTGCCCTTTGTACTTAAGGCCAAGACACAGAATTTGGAGGAAAGGAGAATATAGGTGGGGGTATGAATTCAATGCTACTCTGCATACTTACCAGGCTCCTCTATGAATTTCAGCAGTTTGTTGAGGGAAATAGAATGTACCTCGTCCATTCTCAGTGCAGTCGACACAAAAATATGCCGGCTGAGTCTGGCGAAGGCCTGACAGCGGCAGAGAAACTGTTCTATACTATTTTCGTCCTCCAAACACTATGGACACAGTCGATTGGCAATACCTTGAATACCGTAGTGTGTCCTGGCACCCACATAAGTTCAAGCTCTTTTTACCTTGTAACAGAGTTCAGCCCCAACTTACATTCCTTTACTATCTTTGAAGAGGTGCGAGAGGTTTCCAAATCCTTTAAAGCAGTTAGGCTGTCACTGCAGATTCAGCAAATACGTCTCCCTTCCATCTTCAGTTCCCTATAACGGTTCCACATAGCTCGATCGCATGTGTGTCTCATAGAAGAGATCCATTGACGCCTCTTACTTCTCTTCCGTTGGGGCATGGACGCGGATGAGCGATATGTTGAAGAATTTCGCTTTGATTCGGATTGTGGGTAGACGCTCGTCCACCGGGGTGAAGAAAATTCCCACGACAGCCGGCTATACGTACCGGAGTGGCTCGCGATTTACCTGACTTGGGCTGTTGTTTCGGTGACCTAAACCAGCTAATATCGGCGAATCCCATCAATTTTTTTTTCGTCCATGGCGCAATTCCTTGCAGCCGGATTGCTCCGCATCCTTCTTCTAAGGGCAGGTATTGAGTCCAGCCCTGGACCAGCAATCAACTTCTGCTGCGTTTGCCAGGGACGACTCCATCCAAACTCCACTTCGGTTAGATGCAACTCCTGCAACGGATGGATTCTCCTAACAATCTGCCTACACGGTTACAACAAAATCCCGTGAGCAACAGTCAGCCTCCCCACAACAATCTACCACCCGTTCCAACAGAATCTGATCCGTGTGTTAGAACAGAGTATACGCTTCAGCCAAATTCATTTCATGCCTTGGCTGATGCCACTTCCGCCTATGCTCTGGCCTGCGTACCACATGCGAATGAATTACAAACTACCACGCCCTCAGTTGCAGAGCGCCGCAACCGCAACGCAACCACTGCAGCCACCCGCAACCAGGCAGCAATAGCAACTTCAGCAGGCACAACAGAACCAAGCTACACTTCACACTTTTCTCACCTCTACATCGCGACCAGCCTCCCAAGGTACACGAGACTCCTACAAGTCAGGGCATAGCTGTCCGGTCAGGCGATGCCGCGCTCGAAATATTTTATATATATACATACGGATACTATTCGACATCGACGACGCTCTCACCAGGATCATAGACAGCTTAAGCAGTTCGCTAGACCTAAAAATTGCTAACGCTGATCGGATAAATAGCATAACGTGGTGACCCATGCTAACACTTACATCAGACCACCTGCCCATAATCATCTCGATCCTACATCAACTTTAACACGGCTAATTGGAACGGCTTCGTTGATGTTACCGAGAGCAGCTTCGCCGCCCTTCCCAGACCTACAAATATACATTCTAGCGAAGGCCAGTTTCGCAAGTTGGTCACTGCAGCAGTGACTCGCTGCATTGTTGAAAATACTTATGTATTTAAATATGTATTTGTATTTGTATATG